CGTTTTTACTGGTATCATAGTCATCTTAGGCGGTATTCAAGGCTTTTCGAATTCAAATAAGACTTTTAGTTATAAACTAAATACAGATTCAGTATCAGCACAAAACACTGAGTCGAATGAAGTGTATTTCAAGTCAACATGGCCACTTTCATTTTTGCTCATTTTTTCAAGTATCGTCGTAGAGCTGCAATTGTTGTATACAGGTCAAAAAATGAAAGTTGTCAAGTTGACTTGAAATATACTTCATTCGACTCAGTGTTTTGTGCTGATACTGAATCTGTATTTAGTTTATGACTAAAAGTCTTATTTGAATTCGAAAAGCCTTGAATACCGCCTAAGATGACTATGATACCAGTAAAAACGATTTTTCTCAATACAGGAAAGAAAAGAAAAAGAAAGGATAAGTAACTTTGTAACTGGCAGTATGATGAGTCGAATGAGATAAAATATTTGCCTTTATCACTTACGTAGATACAAAATCGATCTATACGTGGTGCACTTGACGCTATTCGAAGCACCACCACCAGTAGGGTTTTGGGTCTAGGGTCATTTTAGCAACGTCTCGGTACTCAGCTTTTGATGCTGAATCTGAAAAAATTAGTTTCAGAAGCTGGAAAAAAATAAAGTAGAAAATTTTGCACATTTCGAAAAAGATGTCTTTTGTCGAGAAACGACATCTCTCGAGTATTTCGTATTTTTCGACCGGAAGGAAGCATTTGCTATGGCTAAATAGTAGATCAGCAGCTCACGCTCTATCAAATGGTGTAAAAAAGGCGAAAAAAACTTTTTATTCGAAGTTTGAATTGTCGGCACCTTACCTTTGAAGACGATCTATGTGAAATAGCGTGTAATGTGCTCGATGCATCGAAAAACAATGTGGCCCTTGACGAGGGTACATACCTTTTAATAGTGTATAATGATTTCATTGATTCTATAAACTGAATCAGAAGGTACGATCGTCCAGTTCTGGTACAGTATGGTTTTTCTTTTCCACCTCTGACTTATAAATTCTTAAAATTAGAAAACTCTGTTTGTTTTAGATTCAGCATTTGCCCATATTTCTGCAAGTAAAGCAGATGAAACGAAAAAAAATACACTTGGGAAACGTTCTCAGGTATTTCTGGAGACACTTTTAGTACAATTATATGAATTTTTCTCAGGATCGTAATATACCGAAATGTACAATTTAGTTTTCGAGGAATCTCGGAACGATAACAGGCAGAGAGACGCGACAAAAGTAAACGAATGAGCAAAGGCATTTCTAATAGATCTTGAAGGTTTCAAGTTTTTGTCGGTTCATGATTAATCTTAATGGCGTTTCCTTGAGAAGACCTAAAACACAAAAGAATACTAAACGTTCTAGAAAGCATTGTCGAAAAGTGAATTGTTCTTTTAGGCGAACTTGCCACTTATATGCCGATCAGTGGCTCATTTAACACATATGGAAGTCGTTTCATAGATCCAGCGTTTGGTTTCGCTCTTGGATGGAACTATTGGTTTAGCTGGGTTGTTACCATTTCAGGAGAACTAGTAGCTGCCGGAATTCTCGTTCAGTTTTGGCTACCTCATGTAACAACGGTTATTTGGTCGTTCATCGGAATGTTCATCATGTTTTTGCTCAATGCATTTTCAGTTAAAGGTTACGGTGAAGCTGAATACTGGTTTGCTCTAATTAAAGTGATTGCCGTTGTGGTATTTGTTGTTATTGGATGTGTAACGGATGGCGGTGCTCTCGGTCATCATAAATATGCGTTCGAAAACTGGAACAGAAAGGAGGCTCCATTCGTTAATGGAGTGGCAGGGGTTATTACGACATTCATCATATCTGGCTTTTCGTTTCAGGGAACCGAAGTTGTTGGGGTAACAGCAGGTGAAAGTAAAAATCCTGCTAAAGATGTCCCACGAGCAATGCGACAAATCATTTGGCGCATAATATTATTTTATATAGCCTCAATATTCATTATGGGTCTCATCATACCGTACGATGATCCTGATTTAGCGAAAATAGATGGTGTGAAAAATATAGCCGTATCTCCTTTTACTTTAGTGTTCGTTCGAGCGGGTCTTGGACCTGCCGTTCATGTGATGAATGCAGTTATATTATGTACTGTACTTTCAGCTGGTAATTCAGGAGTTTACGTTTGTTCCCGAGTACTATGGGCACTTGCTCTAGAAAATAAAGCGCCAAAATTTTTACGTCGAATAACTAAAAATGGTATCCCAATATACTGTCTAATTGTATCATCGGGACTTGCAACAATCTTTTTTTGCACTATCTTTCATTGGAAATCAAAT